CCATCCCACTGAAATCAGAAACAAGACAAGGTTGCTCACTCTCTCCATATCTATTCAATATAGTTCTTGAGGTCCTCACTAGAGCAACAAGACAACGAAGAGGAGATCAAGGGGCTACAAATCGGAAAAGGAGAAGTCAAACTCTCACTATTTTCCTTAACTTTTTAAGATGAGGCTTTACTTCGTTAGTGCAGGCTGGTCTGGAATTCCTGATGTAGGTCAGACTAGTTTGGAACTCTTGGTGACTGACCTTAACCTCGCAGATGGCTTAGCTCGGATTCCACGCTTTAGCCACTATGGCCAGAGGGCTAATTATTCCAAAAATGTTACTTTTCACCATATATATATATATATCAACCTTACTTTAATAAAAAGGCACATTTCTATGAAAGTTCATATCTAGATAACTTCAAATGGTGACCTAAAGTGAGGTAAAGAAAGATTAACTGAAGGGTTCTCTTAATTAAAAACTAAGGATAGCAAAATGGGTTAGCCTTGGGCATTGTGGCCCTATCAGTCAAGAAAGACATCTTGAGAAACTGCCACTGGTGAGAACTCAAGGTATCCTCCTGACTGGAAGAAGTACTGGTACATTTATTCCTTCATAATCCAATCCAGAAGGATGGGCAGTCACATCAACTTTTGCACTTTTTATTAAATAAAATCACATTTTGTACATGAACATCCCATTGCAGACAAGAGGCAGACAGCTATGAGAGATATGTGAAGACATATTTCATTTTTATTTTCTTTTAGGCATAGAGGGATATGTTAATCCATTTTCACATACAATTCCTATAATTACATATAGGGAGTGAACCTTGAACTGGTTAAAAATCTGTGGCCAACTGTACAACTGGAGAGAAGAAACCCCAGAAGTAGAACTGCACATTCGCTTCCTTCCTGCATAAGAGCACGCGGAGTTGCTCAAGAGCGCCCGAGCTTCCTCCTTATGCAGACACTGATGCCGAAGTGGCCATCTTGTCCGTCCTCTCTTGTAAACATCGGCTCCCGGGCGAGAGCTCTGAGTCTCTCCTGCTGCTGTCTAGGCTATAACAGCTGTTCGTGGACTCAGTTACAATTACAAGTGTACACCGCGCCAGACTAGAGTAAACACTCTCTTTTTGTTGCCCTGTTACTTTTCTGCAAACACATCTTACGAGTAAGACTTTAAACCTTTGATCTTCCAAACCAAAGGAAAAAAAAAAAAAAAAAAGCAAACAAAACAAGCAAAAAAAAAAAAAAATACAGAACTAATCTCACTGTAGTGTTCATGGCTTATTGTGGAAAGCAGGTTTTTAAAACTTTTAGAATTTCTTTAACAAAATTCTAAAGAGAAAAAAGAAAAGAAAACAAAAAGAAATCATATTATTTACAGAGATAAACAGAATGGCTTCGCCATGCAAAACAAAGAACTTTGGTTTTTTTTTTCCCCTTTTCCCTTTGGTTTAAATATTGATCAAGATTCAATTTTTTTCTTGCCAAATAAAACTTCAGTAAATCAAAGTTTAGAGGCAAAATAACATGTTTTCTTTTTCCCCATATTTAATACAGCATTAAGTCTAATAGAATATTTTGTGTATTTAGTCCATACCAATGTACTATAGGAAGCTTTTATTAAGCTGAGACACTATTGCTCAGATATCAAGTGGTTACAAATGTACAAAGACACATCTCTCCATACACAGAAGTAGCAAAAGATTATTCCCAACCTCCTTCAGAGATGAATCTTGATTAGTTTCGCATTGCCTTCAAAACAGCTTATTCTTTGAGTCTAAAGGCAAAACCCACATTTCCTTTTCCTCTTGAAGAACATAGTGCTATGCTTGGAAATAGTCATTTTTATTTTCTCAGATAAAGTTATACATGTAAATCCCAGACAAAATGGCTGTGCAGTGTAATCCCAGAAACCAAGCGTCTACCTGAAAGAGCAAAGATTAAAGTCTAGTCACAAATTGCTACTGGCCCTCATCCAGTCTACTTCAAAAAGTTCCCACGTACATACACTACCTCCTTAAAAAGTTCCTCAGGCAGAAAACATGTTTATAAAGTTACAAATCTGATGTAACTAAAGATACATAGACGTTCTATTATTCCACTTCCATGTACTGCTTGATAAATTATGTACCAGTTAAAAACACTAAATAATCTCAAGGTGCATTCAATATCTGTAGCGTAGTTAACAAAAACACACACGAAAAAAATATATATATTCTATATTCTGTGGAAAATAACACAGCTTTAATAATGACCACTGTTATAAATCTGCAATTCTGACTGATATCTCTTATTTTATTTATTTTAAAGGAAATAAGTGTCATTTTAAGGCAGTGGATAACCCAAAGGATTTAACACCAATTGTAATTACAGTGATTTACATTGTTATCTGTGAAAACGGGAACGCTAGCTGTCATTTTTTCCAACTTTCTCAGACACATTAGTTTTTGTTTTCTTATTATTTTTTTCCTAACTTTTCTTTTGACTGAGTGTAATATCCTAGAAGGTGTTGTTAAGTAAATGTGACCCAAGTTCTGTGCATGTCTTCTTCAGAGAAGACAGAATTGTCAGTTGGGGAGGATCATTCACGTGGTGTTGCTGTTTGTATCTGGGACTTGCTTCTGAGAGCATGCTGGCGGCGCACAGGCCATCACACCCTGTAGCGCTCCTGACTCTCACTTGGGCTGGCCTCCTATTCTCAGAATTAAGAAGCCAGCTTCTGATTGGGCGAGGTATATGTCCCCAACCTTGCAAACGGCCACCTTTGGGTTTCAGGTCCTTGTAAGAAAATTTGGGGCATTAATTGATAACAATCAGAATCAGAACCGTACCTGCTCAGACTATCCATATAAACAATTGAAATAAAACATTACATTATACATCCAATTAACAGCCACTCCCAGAACAAAGCTTACAGTGTATAAAAATAGCTACGTAAAAAATTTACATAAAAGGCAAACTGAAAAGAAATCCTTAGTGCAGACATTTACAGAAAAAAAACCAAACAAAATACAACATATGACCTATTATCATGGCTGCCAAATCTTGCTGTTATTTGATTTTATAACTTTGTTTCATTGTTTCACTTGAGAAAATTCTCTAAGATCCTGTGACAGCTTGGGAGGATGAACTGCTTAATACTTGAACCATGAATTGCTGTCATGGTCTTTGTATACGTCTTAAATACAATCCATGTCCATGCTTCAATTTGTCTATATGGGTTTTCTCTGAAATGAGAAAACATATCAGTCACCATAACAGTCATATTTTTCACCATCAACAGATCCTTTGGTCTAAAAGTGGCAATAATTACATCATAGAAGGGATTATTTGTAGAACCCTGATGTCCTGAGTCCACTGTAAACCCAGCCCAATTCATTCTACTACATGGTTTTGGAATTTATGACGTCTCGTTCCTTCCTTCCTTCCCTCCCTCCCTCTCTTCTCCCTCCTTCACTCCCTTTCCTCTTTCCCTTTCTCCTGTCCTCCTTTTGCAAGACATGATTAATTTGTATAAAGATAAGAGGGGAATCATGATTCCCCTCTTAATAATGCCATTAATAATGAGAATATCTCATTACATTTCAGATTTAAAATGCATCCATCCCTATATCACAGTCTAATTTGTGGGGCGTGTCTTCAGTTCTATAGTGAGATGGAACTCAGCCCATTTTTGAGGCCAACAAAGAGTGTGTTTACATGGACTTGAGAAAAAAAGAGGAGAGTGATAGAGAAGAAGGTGTGACGTGCCAGGGAGGTATTTGGGTCCCAGCGAGCAGAGTAGGAACATGAGTCTAGTGCTCACTCCTCAATCTCTTTGAGAGTCCAGCTAATAGACTTTGTAAACTGATCTTATGTCAGTTCTCTCACATTTCTCTCCTGGGGACAGCCTTCCAGCTGTAATTCTTTCCTATGTCCTCTTTCTTTCCTGTGAAATTAACTCAAATGACCCATTCAGACTGTGACTTGCCATTAATTTATACTATAGCAAAAGTTCAAAGCATTGGTCTTTTGTTTGTTAGTTTTTTTGTTTTGTTTTTGTTTGTTTTGTTTTGTTTCATTTTGTTTTGCGACAGCGTTTCCCTGTCTGTATTCACGGCTGCACTGGAATTCGCTCTGTAGCTCAGGCTGGTCTCAAACCCGTCTCTCCCTCCTGAGTGCTGGAATTAAAGGTGTATGCTACCATCTCCTGGTGCAGTTGGGCTTTTTACCCCTTGCTAGTGGTAGCAGTTAACTCTACGACACACAGACTAATTAATTCAAATGATGCCTTTGTTGGTCTCAAGGGGGCACAAAAATAAAATGATCAAGTTGTAAGTGGTAATATCACTGAGACATATACCTTTTCAAGACTACCTTAAAAATTGTACAGATGCAGTTAATATAGATGAAAATATGCAATATATGTAGCACTAATACATACGTTATGCTCATGTATTTGTACATGTAGGTACCTGTGTGCATATGTACTCATACAAACATAGTATACATGTATTACCAAGAAGAAAGCCTCTGTATGTGTGCATGTGCATGTGTACTAGCTTGTCAGCCTTTTCATTAAAATGACTGAAGAGATGCCTATGTAAATACACTCACAATTATGCCATATCCTTGGATTAAAGTATTTATATATTAAAATTTATTCTAATGGGTTTTAAAAATAAATTTAGAGTTTGTGCTTACTGAACCCAAACACCAACTCATAAAATAAAGCTTCTTTGTTTGTGGCAAATTTTTTTGGCATTAAAAAACAAAATGCAAATGAGATGTCAAAAGAATCCCCAAAATGGATTTTATTATTCAGGGATAATAATAATGTTGGGGAGGTTGAGGGGACTGGAAAGAGCCTTTCTTCTGAAAGCAATGAGTCAATGATGGTCCCTTTTGAAGCCATCTTTCTGTTTGGGGAGCTATAATTAAGAAGCATTAGCAAGTGAAGTTTGGGTTTCATTCCCACAGGGCTTCCCCACATCCTTCTAGGACACCCCCCAAGTCCCACTTACCTGGAGACTTGGAACCACTCCTCTTTTAGGCTTCTGTTTTGTGGTTGTTTTCCTCTAGCTTTTTATTCTCCTCCATATTGCCAAGGTCCTTGTTGACGTGTTTTGATGCAGTTCTAGAGGATAATGAAATAAATATCACATAGTCACTCTTTTTTTAAATTGCTCTAGTTTGAAAATATTTCTGAAAAGTAAGGTTATTATACATCTGTGAGGACTGACTGAAAACAACACACTGCAAAGAAAAAAAATATAAATGACTCTTTAAGTAGAACTGAAACATAATTGATGATACAAAAGTAATTGTGAAACCAGATTGTACAAGTTTGTTGGACTCTGATGTAAGTTGGGCTAATTGGGCTAATTTTCACCAAGTTACTAGAGAAACGATTGTTATCATTTTATTCCTGGTAGTTAAAAAATATTTTGAGGGAGCTTCATTATCTCAATAGGCATACATTAACATGAGTCTCATCAGGCCCAAATCAGTAGGCCCAGCCAATGTGGAATGGAAACCACAGAAATTCTTGAGCCAAAATAAAGTTTTCCTTCTTTTGTTGTTTATCTGAGATTTTTCCATCCCTCCCCAAAATCTAATTAATACAGATTACAAATATAAAGATGGGAAAACTGGTTTCGATGTCAGTGAATCTGTGAATCTGTGGAAAAATGCTATATTGAAAAGTAATACCTGCCCAAGTTAAATATACTTGTCATGAGGAAAATTTAGTGAATTTTGAAAAATTGCCTAGATAAATGTAAATAGAATTGAATTCAGAATAGTAAACAGTGGTAGACCATTATATTCACTCACAGGTACTGCTGCTCCCACAAATTAACACAAACTCAGTTTCCACAGGACAGTTTTAGCTATTCATGTAATTTATAGATTAGCAGAATCATAATGTACATTTTCATTGGTATTTGCCTTTTAGTGAAACTCAGCTATAAGTCTGTAATGTTCATAGTGATAGGCACTGTTTGTTCTGTAGTTTTTTAGGACTTGAGATACATAATTTAGGTTGTTTCGGTGGGTCTGTCCTATTTCTTATTGCCTTACTTGCCTGTCCTTTTGATTTCTGGGTATTTGATGAAGTATTTATGGGTACTTTAGCCTTCTTGATGATTGACTGTGGCATTCTCATTAGGTAGTTATTTGTTTTTTTTTCCTCTAATTTTCTCTTGATTATTTATTGTATATGTTTACTCTGTGCTTGCTCAATCTTCTTTTTTTTTAATTGTTGACACTGTCTAGGAAAATTGTTTGGGCACCATCTAATCCAGTTTGTAGCATGTAAGATCCTGCCTTTCTGTTGTTAAATGGGGATGATGAGGGGAAATTGCCATGTTTCTACCAAGTTCTCTGTTAATGTGAGGCTCAGGTGCAGTTTGTATGAGGCTTCTCAAACCTGTGTTTGTCCCCTACCTAAATGATAGCAGGTCTCTCCGTTAGTATGTGTGAGAATGTGGAAATAATATGTACTATCCTAACTCTCTGGTCATAAATATATTAAAGTATTAAAACATAAAAAATGAATACTTCAAATTTTTAAAGAGGTAGTTACAGAAATAAAGTTCTGTGATTTCAAAGGGAAGAAAAGCAAATAACTTGTACTCTCAGATCACGTGGACTTTGTGCCAGTACACAGTTACTGGATTGTGCTTCAAAAATGAGAGCCCAAGCAGCAAATGCATCTCAGTGATTTAAAGAGGAAAAGACCAGTTTTTGGCCAGAGTGAGGTAAAGGGAATTACTGGAGACAGGTGAAACTGCAGAGAGGATCATGTGACATCCTAGGAGGATTCCTTGATTCTTTGTCTGTCTCCTAAATTGGATATGCTATTCTAATAAAATTTAAAATGAAGCTTCAAAGGGATCAAGCTGATTTGCAAGCAGTTTGAGTACCACTTCATATAGAACTCAGAATGTAACAATGTAATATCAATTATTAAGATGCCTAGAAACAAATGAAAATTTACTAAAATGATGTAGAACAATGTTGGTCTAGGAGGTCCTTCTTTCTATGTGTTGCTTGTATTGGTTAATGAATAAAGAAACTGCCTTGGCCTGATAGGGTAGAACTTAGAAGGCAGGGAAGATGGAACTGAATTCTGGGAGGAAGAAAGCAGAGTGGGAGAGATGCCATGGATCCGCAGCCTGAGATGGATGCTGGTTAGAGCTTTACCCACTAAGCCACGACCACATGGCAATACACAAATTAATAGAAATTAATTAAGTTAAATTAAGCTGTAAAAAATAGCCAATAAGAAACTAGAGCTAATGGGCCAAACAGTGATTTAATTAATATAGTTTCTATGTGGTTATTTTGGGACTAAACTAGCTGGGTGGCTGGGACAAACAAGCAGGCTGCCCCCTGCAACACAATGTCACTGTAATAACATGAAAACTGGGTGAATACAAACCTGAGTAATTAAATAGGGAACCAAGGCTCATAAAACAGGCATTATATATGAGAAACAGGAAATTTTAAAGGCAGATCAAACACTTCGAACCAATTAATAAAAATTAGAAATTACAAAATCATTGTAATTCATCAGATGAGCTTATTAACACCTCAAACTTTAAAACAGAAAAAATATTGAAAATAAAAATATAACTATAAAATAGTTCAATGTAAATTCTAAAATTAAAAGAGCAAAGTTTGTGTGGATATGCACACATGTGTGCATGTATGTATGTATATGTTTGTGGGCAAATGTGTTTGTGTGTGTGTCAATGTATGTGGAAGCCAGAGGATAATCTTGGGGTCCCTACAGAAGTACCATCCACCTATATTTATCTTTTTCTCTCCCTTTGGCTAAACCTCTCATTGTCCTGGAACCTGTCAATTGTGTTAGACCTGTTGGCCAGAGAATACCAAGGATCCACTTGTTTCTGCCTCTCCAGTGCTGGGATCACAGGTGTAAGACACCCACCCTGGATTTTGAATGTGGTTTCTGGGGACAGAACTTCGGTCACTGTGCTTGTAAAGCAAGAACTTTACTCACTGAGCTCCCTTCCCAGCACAGACCAAGGTTTTAAAAGGTAGTCAAGCCTCAACAACTTGTGGTCTAAGTTAATACATTCCCATGCACAAACATTTGGGGTTTCATGAATAGAAAATGGATGAAAGTCCAAGTTTGAGAAAAATGAAAATGTCTAATTATTTTACATTAAAAATACAATCTGGAAAATGAGACATCATTAAAGTGCCCAATATTCCAAAAGTTCACAACTTGAAACTCTGTACAAAGAAAATAGATCCAGAAAAGTGAAAGTGGAAGAAGATGATGATGTAACTTCCTGTCGGTAGATACTCCTTTGTGGTAAGACTAGAACAGTCGAAAACCTGCCTATTTCTGTGACCCTTTAATACAGTTCTGCATGCTGTGGTGACCCCAACAAAAAAACCATTTTGTTACTACTTCATAACTGTAATTTTGTTACAATTATGAATTGTAATGTAAATATCTGATAGGCAGGATATCTGATATGTGACCTCGGTAAAAAGGTCATTTGACTCCCAAAGGGGTTGCGGCCCACACGTTGAGAACCACTGGACTGGAGTTAAGTGAAGTTACAAACATCTCAGACGCATCCAAACATATATATTCTAGATATAATTAGCTTAGTTTGTATAATGTTACTTGTATGTATGTTTTCAGGACTGACAATTGTGTACTCTTCCTTGGGGGAGACTATTTCTCCTGATCTCAGTATTCCTTGAATTTCCATAGTTCCCATCGTGTAGGAGTTGAGAGTTCTCTTCCCTTAAAAAATTATTTTGGTTTTTGTTTTGAGAATGATATCCAAAATTAGATGGAATTTTATGGAATAAATACCTTTTAATTTTGGAAAGTTTCCAGAGATTTGAAAAAAATTACAAGGATTAGAACTCCAACTCCAAATGACAAAGACAAATTATTCTCTAAATCACTCTCTTCTGCAAAGCACTTATCACCCATTTGAAGGACAAAGCACTTACAAAGCACGTGCTCTTTACAAATAGATTAAACTATAAATTATGATCACTGCTTGTCTTAAATTTTCATCAGTAACTTTTTGTTTACTTTGACTGCAAGAGAAAATTTAAATCATAGAATCATGACGGGATTAAACTAAGTAAACTAAGATGGGAATGGAAAGAAATTCTATCCTTCACCATGAAGTGTAACTTGTTAGACGAGAGGGTGGTGGTAGCAGTGGTGGTCTGGAGGTTAGTGGATGTCCTGGTTAGTTTTATGTGAACTTGACCAAAGCTAAAGTCATCTGAGCAGGGGGGAGAGACTTCAATTAAGAACATTCTTCCATAAAGTCTGGTTGTGAGCAACCTCGTGGAGCACTTTCTTCATTAGTGATGGATGGAGATGGCCCTACACATTGTAGGTGGTGCCACCCCTGGGCTAGTGGTCTCAGGTTCTACAAGAACTGAGGCCGAGCAAGCCACGGGAAGTGAGTCAGTAAGTATCAGTCTTTCATGATCTCTGAATCAGCTTCTGCCTCCAGTTTCCTGACCTGTTTGAGTTACTGTCCTGACTCCCTTCAGTGATGATCGTTTGAGCCAAATGATCCCTTTCCTCCCCAAATTGCTTTGGTCATGGTGTTCCATCATAGCAACAGTAACCCTAACAAAACAAAATGTGCATTGGTGTCAGTTTGGAGCTATAAGACCCTGGCCACATCCTTCCTCCTAAAACTCTTGTTCTCTATAAATAGAGGAAAGAACAACACCCACATATGTTCATGAGAAAGTTCGAGGTGAGGCACAGGGCTCAACAACCTGATGTTACAGAGCTGTTGCCAAAGGCCACATGGTTACTGAAGAGATCAGTTCAAATCTATGTCTTAGCTCATCTGAAAAAGCAGTTCTGTGAAGGAGCTAAAGCCATTAAAGTAACTTCAGACAGTCTCAGGACTCTTCAGGGATATCACCAAGTGATTATATACTCGCTTTGAAGTCTTTAGCAGATAAGGTGGAAATGTCATTGGTTCTGCCTTCTATGGATGGCTTTATTTTAATATTTTAACAATAATTTAGTGGGGGTGGGGAAGTGGGAAAGTGAAGGGGGTTCTTGAGAATATAGGTTCAACCAATGCTGAGGGCTATCATTGAAAGAAATAAAAGGACAAAGCAAAACCAAACCAAAACAATAGAGAATTTTATATCTCTGAAATAAAATAATTTATATTGTAGTTATTTAATAAGTTTTGGGGTTTTCAAAAAACAGACAGTCATGTGTTCAGTGCCCTGTTTGAGTGTGAGGAAATATTAACTCTTCCTGACTGCAGGGTTAAATTCTGTGATTTATATTTTATAGTGTGCTCAATTTACACCACATAAGAGTGCCAAGACTATGAGTTTTCAGGACGGGCACTTTGGCAGTGGAAAATTGCCAGTTCAAGCAGTCTGACCTTTGACACCTATACAGGTGATTAGGGGCATATCCAAGATAATAGTTATTTCCCCCTATTCCCTGGTCCCAGCTGTCAGCGGGATGAGTCTTTTCTTGGGCCAAAGTTAATAAAAAGCCAGAGGTGGTGGAGAGAGCTTTAATCCTAGCTGACAGTGGGCAGCAATTTCGTGACTTGGAGAAGAATAAACAGTTGGTTTTATTGCTACCACTTTCAATTTACTATGCTTAGACTTTGAGGCCGTTCTGAGAAATTCCTCACTAGAATAAGGAATGCACATGTCCTCTGTTAAAAAAAAGTAATCAGGAATTAGCCTTTGTATCTTAGCTAACAGTTAGTATGTGGACTGCACAGTAAGCAGAAGACTGAAGATTAAAGATAAAATAATAATAATAATGATAAAAAGGACAAATACTTAAAATGTAGTTAGGAATTTGCATTGGTTTGGTGAAGTGGCAGCTGTAGGTTTCCCTAAGATCCATGACTTTACTAGCCCCATGTAACTGGCTAAATTCCTGGTACCAAGCATGATTTTACTCTTGAGAGGAACTCTACAGCTCTTAAAATGAGGACTCAGCAAGTAATGACCTTCCCCTTCAAAACAGAAAAGTTCAGGCTGATATATTTAATCATAAATTCTACCAACATGCAACGGAGATGTTATATTGACCCTCTATAGTCTTTTTGTAAAATTAAAAAGAGGAGGATTCTTTCCTAATGCATCCTGCTAGGTCAACAGGACCCTGATAACAAAACTGGACAAAGACACTACCAGAAAATGACAGGAAATTATCTCTCAGGAACAGAATTCCTAAATTTAAATAAAACTAACAAATCAAATCCAAAATGCACAAAAAACACACACCATGATCAGCTGGGATTTATTCCAGGTTGTGAATGGATGACTCAGCATTTAAAAACAAATTAATTCAATCCAAACTCAAGAAGAAAATCATATAAGTCATATTGAGAGATGACAGAATTCAATATCCATTCATAAAAAAAAATCCACAACCTTATGTGATGGTTCATCTCAGTTACCAACTGCAGGGATCAGAAGTCAAGAGGCATGCCTCTGGTGGATCTGTTAAGGCAACTTCAGGAGGTTGTCAAGGAGGGAAGACCCTCCCCTGGGCTGGGCAGCTCCTTCGGGTGGGGGGTCCCACAGGAAGACGTGCTATAAAGATGGGCATTGCTTGTCTGCCTGATGACTTTTGCTTGTTGCTGGTGAATGCATCTGTTCCAATACTGTCCTGCCATCCTTCAATAGCACCAATATCTGCTTCTTTGTCCTTCAGATACGAACTGAAGATTACTGAACTCATGGCCATTACTGAAGCATTCAGCTTTGTGGATAGAGCAGCTCCTGGGCTCTGCGCATCTGCGACATGCTGTGGGCCAACTAGGACTAGTGGTCATAAGCTGTTCCAGTAAATGTACTCTGATAAAATATCTGATTGTTTCTTTAATTCCCCAAATCTTTTTGGTTTTGTTTCAGTGTTTCAATCCCCTTGCTGAATTTGTCTTGTGTAATCGGGACTTTCTCCTCTAATTTGCTGTTCACTTTAGAAACTACCTTCTCAGAGTCTCAAATAGAATCCTTTCATTAAAAAACAAAACACAACAAACAAACAAAAACCCTGACTCCATAAAAACAAGAAGTTCCCATTGCAGTCTGCAGCTTGGCTCTGTATCAGCGAACATCCCTAATACTGATACAGAAAACAAGCTGGATCATAGTAAGAAGAGGGAAATTTCCCCTTTACCTTGGAAAGGATAACAGAAACAATGATAATTTTCTTTTTTGAGCCTTTAATTTATGTTTACACACATACTAATGCCAAGAGGCACATGTGTTTTACATGCTACAGGTGTAGGAATTGAGTCTGTGAGATATTAATAACTTCAGTTTCTCCTAAATGCACAAAAATCCAAGGTTAATCATGACAGGGACAGGTAGTTATATTTTTCCACAGGAAGCAAACTGCGATCTTTTAAAACTATAAATGCTCTATTTTGACGCGAGTCCTTTCCTCAGAGGACTTTCAGATCAAACCAATAGCACAGAAAGTCCTGGTTCTGCACTTAGTGGCCAGTGACATTGTAATTAGCTAGATCCACCAACATTTCCTCTTTATCCTAGGTCCCTTTTAGTTTCTTATTTATGGTTTGAGAGAATAATGGGGCATTTTCTTTTTGTTTTTCTCTTCTGGATGCTTGCCAAATTTTAAGTGCCAAAAAAAAAAGCAAGAAATGAAAAGAAAGGAAGATCCAGACTTGGATAGCCCTATCTTTAATACAAATGGAGGGATATGCCATCCCTGAATTTGTGGCATGTTCCTCCCCCATGGGAGGATGCAAAACGCACAAAGGTAAAGTCACATGTGGACTCTTAATTGAAAAGTAGTACTGATGAAGTAGCAAATATATATGAATTTATATGGAATATGAGAAAACACTAAATATACAAATGAATATATTCTTCAATTCTACTTTGAAATAAAAAAAACTGATTCTCTTATTTTCGATGTTTCCCATAACTAATTCAAAGACCATCTCTCCAGTGTTGTTAAAACTCCATTGCTTTGCTAACTGCATTGCAAAAATTGGTCTTGGGGATTCTGAACTAAAATCATGCGTCTGCACTTCTTCTGTCAGTGGCTTAAGGGGTTAACACTCATAGTGCACAAATGTAAGCTTATTCTAGAGGTTCGGGAAGGGATTAAGGGCACTTAGAAATCTGAAGCATCCCACACAAAGTCTGTTACGTTGAAATGGTGAGAGCTGCAGTTTATTACATTGATTACCAATAGTATTAAGTCTATCAAATCTGGCACATCTTTCAAATAAGTAGCAGTCACATGTTAGGACTGGCCTTTAATTTTAATTTAATGACAGACTTTAAAGGGAATGTTTGAGGTCTAACCTAATCACATTGTTAAACAAAGTGTCCAGCATTTATCTGTGATTTGAGTTTTTTTTTTTTTTTTTGGTTGCTATATGTAACAGTTCACGTAAAACAGAGACACACTTTTATTCAGAGGACATTTGATGTCTGATGAGACATTGGCCATTAACATGACTAAAATATTAAGAGTTCTCTTAGGGCTTGAAATTTATTTTAACTGTATAAAGAGAAGTGATCATGGCTCCGTATGGGAATGGACATCATGCATATCAGTCACAAACACAACAGAAAACTTTTTATGGAAAAAAGCTACAAAGCATCATGAGCTATGGTAAGGCCTTATCATGCCTGTAAAACAAATAATTCTGCCCACTATAATTAGCTATCACAAGAAAGTCTCTTTCACAGTTAAAATATGAATAACACTGGTGTCTACTTTACAGATGTATTGTGGGCAGTCAATCTATGGTTATCATGCTTTGTTACGTTCACACTTTCCAGCCATGCCTCCCTGCCAGGAAACTCTACTCAGATTGAAATGGGCATATTTATAGGATGAGATTAAGATTATAGGTTTGAGCTCACTTTATCTTTTAACTCTCTCTCTTCATAAAATATAGTTTTTGAATTTTTAGAGGGATTAACTCAGGCATACTGAAAGCCTAAAATTATGTTACAGCTTGGTTCCAGCTCTAGATATTCTGTCATAAAAACAGTTATTCGCTTATAAGATATTATTTTAAAGCCTTTCAAAACATGCACAATACGGGACTCCATGTCCCCTTGTGCTGGCAATGTAGACACTGCAAACTCATATGGAGTGCCATCAGCCTGATGTGGAGGATGTGTAGATCTTATAGAAATTATGTGCACCTGAATCTTGACTAATACGGAGTGGCTAACATCTACTTACTGATCGTTTTCATCAGCTTAACCAGATATTCGGTAAAATCACTGTCAAAAGATCTTTAAGGTCTGTCTTGCATGGTGTACCTTATGATTTCAATCATTTTTTAATTTAAACTTATCTAAAGTGTCTTAAATGCATTTGTAGTATTCTGTCTAATCAGTGTTTTCAATAAGGCCAACGTAATCATGTTTCCGCATCTTAATTAGGTCTTTACATGGAATAAAGTTATTCAGTTGGAATAGAGGGAGACAGCCTCACTTCAGTGGAGTTATTTTCTGGTCAGATCAGACATTCACAGTCATTCACAATCCCTGAAATATGTAACTTCTTTTTAACTAATCTCCATCAACTTCAAACAAAAAGTTTAGGATGTTTTTCATTTAGGCAGTGTGTGCTTAAGAAACAAATCTACCAATGCAGAAAGCAAGGACACTAGCAAAAGTAGCGGCATTCAGAATGCTAAGAAAGATAAGGAGACATAAGCACATCGCAGGCCACACCCCTGATGTTAGTCCTATAGTCACTGCAAAGTAAAACAAAGCATGGTATGCCCATTTGGAGGCTGTATCTGTATTATTATAGAAATTACACCCATAGTGGGGGTAGGCACAATCAGCACGTTGGAGTTATCCAAGTTGGAGGCGGTGAAGACCAAGAACCCCTTTGTGCAACTTACTTGGATTTCTTCATGTAGAGCCAATAGACGACACCAGCCACGAGCGCAGCAAGTAGGAGACCAACTACAATTCCCACAATTAGTTTTGCCTGGTCATTCACCTTTTCTCTGTTCTCATCTACAAGAAAGAAAAAAAAATCCATGCAATTACAGCCAGTGCTAAAGAGTTTGAAATGAAGTTGGTACCGTTCTAACTTATTAATGATGACTAAGGCTCACTATCATGATTTACATGCAAACTGGTGATTTTAAAGGGTGAAAAGTTTAGAACTTTGACTGTCTTGTCTCATTTGATATTGTAATTCAAGTCAAATTTGGACAGCTAAGAAAATCACTCATACAGGGGCACTTCATAGATCTTGAGCTGATAGTCAAGGAAGGAGAGTTGAGTCTGCAGTATAGTACCTACCACTTATATCGTCTGCCTCATCGTGTTCTGGAATACTTACTGAAATGAAAAATGTTAATATGAAATTAAAAACAAAATTTATGGATAAGTGAAAGCCACCTTTACCATTATAGTATGATGTAATAATACTTAGTTAAAACAGCTATTCTACAACTAAGGGTAAAGAAAAGAAAAACCACACTGGATAGAGCAAGAACATCCCTACAAAGAAATTAATCTTGTTTTAGGGAAAGTAGTTAAAATGCAAGTGTTTGAATCTATTGGAGAAAATTTACAACCAACAAGTTATGGTATTTATCTAAAATCTATATTAATTTCCTACTGTCTACATCTTTCACTAGAACTTCTTATTAGGAGAAACAAGTTGGCCCCTATGAAGTCTACAATGTTGTGTTCTCAACTCTTCCGCTCCTGCTTAGGAGAATTTATTTTCATTTTCTAGGATCAAGGACACTACTATTAATTAGGTTCTCAAAGAAGGAGTTGGGGTGGAGGTTATAAGTGGGGTGCTCAAGACATTACACAGCACCCTACCCTATATGATGTTTGCTAGACTTGCAAGTTTCTGATTGTGCCATGATCTTAGTACAGTTAAAACTCAATGCTCTTCTGGATTATCATTAAATTACATAAATATTCTTCAGTGTGCCTGAGTCTGCATCAGAATTCCCTATGATGTTAGAGAAAATTCAGGGTCTTAAGTACTCAGGGAGTACAAAGTTTGAAGTGATTGTTTCAAATACTGAAAAAAAGCTGAAGTATCTCTTTCAATAGGTTAGTGATAAAAATATCTTTTTAGTTAAAAAATGCAAAAGGATAAGTTCTCTCTAGATAGTACAAATCAATACTCACAGAATTGCATTGTGAGAAGTCAATGAGTGTATTTTAATTTTGTTTACTTTTGCTTTACAGCTAATCCACTGGGCCTTTATATTCTAGTCCATCTGTTAGGGGCCATTATCTTTTGAAATTGTTTTGTCCTACAAATTCCTATTTATTGTATTCATAACATACTAATGCAAGGATTCCAACTGATCAAGAAATAAACATTTGGCAGCAGGTCAGCTAACATCCTGTCTAAAAGTGAACTTTATTCTCGGCCAATACTGATTTAGGGTTGCCATAGTAACAGCAACAGGAATAGTAACAGAAATGAAAATGGCTTCTAATTTTCCAATAAATCATATTTTTCAAAATGTTTTTCTCCCTCAAAAATACATAAACTAGGATTTCAATACTGACAGATTCTTCAGTTTTATCTAAGATAATTTCATTTTTTCCATTATGATTCAAAACTGACAAGAGAAGGGAAACTTTTCCAAGCTGAGTTCATTAATTCTCATGTCTTTTTTTTTACCCTACTAATTTGTTAATTGGTCAAATTTATGGCATTTCTGTATAAAGTAAGGGTAGGATAAAAATACAATAAATTGTAATGCAAAGTAATAGCAGAATTAAAAATTTATCTAATGTGTCATTTACAAAAGTCCCTAAAATTAATCATGAACTATCTGACTTTGTATCCACAGCATAGATTAGATATGAGCTGCCCATTGCTTATTCTCCCTTGCATTTGGAGGGATTCCTGTGTTAGGGGTAAGGGTCCGAGTCTTAATATATGAAATAACTTAAACTGTGAAAACAAGGGTAGTAGAATGGAAACCAGGAAAAAAGAAAAGTAACCTTATGGCGATGATAGCAAATGCAAAACAGATGTATGAGACTTACCATGATGCAGTACAGGGAGATGGGACTGAAGATGTAAAGCTAATGAAGAATAACTTCAAATTTTCTTACGGTTTTAATGCCAGAAATGAAATACTCACTCGCAGAGACATTGAGGGAGTTTACTGTTCTCTCCAGTTGGTTTTCTGCTGTGCAAGTTAGTGTAACATTCTCCTCGGGGGAAATGATAATTTTACTATAATACCTGCCATTGATATAAGGAGACTCCTCTGTCTGGAAGAAGAAGGAAGATAAGGTTAGAAATGGAAAAGCATTTTACAAGTCTGGGACAGAACAGTGGTAGATGACTCAGGGAAGGTGTGCTGTTCTACTGTCTGTGCTTAAATCCTTAAATGGGGAAACTACAGATAAGGACCATCCAGGTCCTCTACTGCTTTATGGTTACGGCAGGCAGAAAAGAAATGAGTAAAGCAATAATGGGACCTGTCTGTCTAACATTCTCTTGCAATTTTAACACATCCATCAAACTTTTCTTTTTTGATAGATGCTCAGTGTCAGTTAAACTTTTCCCATGATACTTGTTTCAAAGCATGTAATTAGTCATTATAATCACTAGCTTCCTTTCAGGGAATATTAGCATTTAATTATTTGTGGATATGGTCAATGGGCTTTTTTTTTTTTGCTATAAACATCTATTCTATTATCTTAATTCTTTGCAAAACGGGTATCTATTCTCTTACCTTAAATCTTTTATCAAAGTTCAAGGAATATAATAATTGTTTATGGGTAAATAAAATCATCGTTTCTCTCAGAACTTCCCTGTGCTAAATAAAAAAAAAAGTAGATCCTTTAGTGGTGACTTAAGGATTAACTAAAATGCATTTGATGGTCCTGAGACACAGATGGGGGCATCTTTGGATGTGGGACCTTCAAACGTAAGAAACAACGCAGTAGCAGTGTTTCTTAGTTATTTGTGTTTCATCTTTTGAGAATTCTCTGTTTAGATCAGTACCCCATTTTTGGAGGTTTGTTAAAAAAAACTATATAGACTATTTTGTTTGGGGGTACATATTATGGTTTCTGATGCTGTGTTTTTATGGGATCTCTGCAGTGAGAACTTATGCCTATGCATTTATGGAGTTTTTATATTCTTTATTTTATTTGTTTAGTCATGATCCAGTTTGTTTGTTTTATTTTATCTTCTCTTAATTTATTGTCCTGTTATTTTTAGATGTCTGCTTGCTTTTGAATGAGAGATAATAAGAAAGGGTATAGATTTGGTGGAAGTGGAGGTAGGGAGAATCAAGGAGAGTTGGAGGAGGGGAAACTGTAGAACTATATTCAGAATATATTGTATGAAAAATTTATTTTCAATAAAAATAGGGTAAAACATAAAAAGTATACATATTGCCTAACAAAAAATCTTTTAAAAAGGGATTTGAAAATTAAAAAAAAAATAAAGAATGTAGTAGGTTCATTCTTGGGATTAGACACAAATACAGCACAAGTCAAGCCAGCATGCATTCAATATTTTCTTGGTCACTAACTTGAATTGTGGCCTATATTTTCCTCCCCTGGTTTTATTCTTAATTATACTGTAACTGTCTATAGGGTAGGTATGCAATAGCCTCTGTTTCCTGGGAGCTACCTCCTGGTTATACACTGGTAGGTTCATCATGCTTTGGAGGGGGGAGCAAATACAATATTATGGATGGATCATCTCAGATCTAGAACAAGAAAAATACCACATCATCCCTGAGGCCAGATGAAAGTCCTTCTCTGTGACAATGAAAAATGGCATGATTGTTTCTGTCCTTGTGGTACATGTACCTGCTGTTCTCCCCAAGTCTTTGTGCCTGCTACCTCAGTCTCTAAAAAATTTACTCGCTTTATTCTAGCATGGCCTTTTACATTATTATATTCATTTATGCATCAGATTTATGAGTGCTTTTTTTCTTCTTCTGTCTACTTTCCATATCAGCATCACCAGTACCTACAGGTTCTTTTTCAATGGCACTTAACTGAACAAGAGGGAAAAACAGTAGAGCAGGGAGGAAACATTTATATTCTTTGAGTATGTTACTTTTAGCATCCGATTCTATAAAGTACTTCTTTACATTGTCAGCAATTCGGGTCTTTATTCCGAATAGAGAAGCATGCATCTTCTCAGACTTGATGGTCTCCTTGTCTCCCTGCCCTCCCAGGAATGGACTTTTTACTTGCGTGTCTCAAAATGTGTTTAATCAAGTCAGGAGTCATTGGCTTCAAGCGTGACCACTCCGAGGGCTCTCTGCTCTTGAGCAAATGCAAATGTATCTGTATGACTCATAGACAAGAGCCCAGATCCACCATGTTTAGCAAATGATATTATATGAGCTGAACCAGTGGCTCGCTTCTCCACCGGGGAATGTGGAGTTTTCAGCTTAAAATTCATTTGCATCTTTTTGCTTTATATGTGTCTGCTGAAACCTGAAATGGAGAGTCCATGTCCTGTGGCTCTTTAACTGGCTCTAATGATCTAAGCAGACATGAGAACCGCTACAGAGAAAATTTAACTAACGTTATAGTAGCACCCAAAGAGATTAATTAATGGGATTAAAGCCCTGTACCCTTTAATAGGCTGGTTTGTTCTCTCTGTCTTATTGTCTCTCTCTTTCTATGTCTGACTTTGTATTAAGAAGAAAATATTCACAGCATTTGTAAGTTGAAAATCTTTGTGGCTAATGGAGTATCTTACAAAGGCTACAGATATTACATGTAGATTAACATCGTGTACAACCTAGATGTTACATTTGGCTATTCTTGTTCCAGTCCTAGCCCTCTAATCAGCAAACTGGACCATGTATTTCCAAGCAGTGACTATGTGGGTCACTACCCCTGGAGTCCAGATTCAATAAGCTATATCCTTTAAGCACATGTAAACAGGCAAAGTAATGGCGGCTCTTGTACATTTTATGGCGCAGAAAAGTATATACCTTAATGGTTTAATTATCCGTTCCTCAGGAATTAATGACCATGGAGAAGCATCCAGTTTTAATTCTTTTAAAAGCAGATACCACAACTTACTGGTTTAAAATCCATGGACCTGGGATTTAAATGTGTTCTTTGATGCACGCGCTCCTTCAGAGAAGATTAAGATGTCAGCAAGCACTTGCTCTAAGCATATGTTGCGTATTTCATATGGTAACCAAACCAGCCTACACTTCAGTTACCTAAATAAAGCTCAGCATGGGACCAGGGGCAGCACTGAGGAAGAAAAATACTTGCTTGGTTTATGACGCTTCCACTGCCAGTAATGGTCCACTGGATAGCTGGTTTCGGAAACCCTTCCACATGGCAAATTATGGTTTTAGACAGGCCACTGGGGTCAGTTTTCTTCGTCATTTTGATTTGAGGTTTTCCTAAAATATTGTTACAATTGAGACATTACAATTGAAATATTAAAAGAGACCAAATATCAAATTCTTAAAGAAAAAAAATGCTGCTGATTCAGTTCATTACCTTCTACAATGAGTGTCAGTGATTCCCTTTTCTTCAGCCCTTCAACCTCCTGAAGAGCCGTTTCACAGACGTAGTTTCCGGCATCCTGATAATGAAGGCTAGAAAATGATGGGCTTGATCGAAGCCTGATATTATCCTGTAACGCAAGGTGCATTACTTCAGAGGGCACAGCTTCTGTTTCTATTTATTTTTATTTTTAGTCACTGCGAGTGACGTGTGTGTGTGTGTGTGTGTGTGTGTGTGTGTGTGTGTGTACGAATGTGGTATAAATCTGTGGTACGTGTACCTGGATGTGTGGATGACTACACCTGTGTATGAGTGTATGAGGATCAAAGCAGGTCATCTCTTGTCCTGCTCTAGTGTCATCTGTCTTATTGAGTTGGGATGGGGTCTTTCACTGAACCAGAAGCTTACGTTTTCAGCTGGGATGGCTGACTCAGGAGCTAAAGGAATCAGTCTGTATCTGAACGCCAATGCTGAGGTTTCAGACACACAGTAATATCTGGTAGGTGCTGGGGATTACCACAAGATTCTTATGCACTGAATAAAGGGATTGAGTTCTTACTCACTAAGCTATCTCTCCAGCGCCACAATTGTGAATACACACACACACACACACACACACACACACACACACACCCTAATATATCCATAAATATATTATGGGCTCTTACTCTTACCTTATCTAATTGTTTGAAGGATGTAACTATATCAATAGTGCAATGGGTTTATATTGAGAAACGTCTCAAATGTCAGTCCCTACTTACTGTTAGGACTGCTCCATAAGCCATTCACGGAATCTAAACAGGGCTAGTCATTAATGCCCAAGACTTATCTGATCTGAATGGCCATCAACACTGGTGCTTCATTATAAAATGATAAAAATTATGTAAAAATTCAGTAACAAAACCTTTTTATACTTCTTACTTTTCCTTTTTTGTTTCTTCGAGGCAACTATTCTAATTTCTAAAAAGAAAAACATTTATTTTTTTAAAAAGTTACTTGACATCAAAAGATAATCATATTTTTAGGAATTTAAGTTTAAAAACAGATAATAAGACAAAATTCTAAGATTATAGGGTTTTGTACACTAGAATTTTTTTCTGCTCAGTTTCCTATCAACTAATATTGAGTAAGAATGTTGCTGAGCAATAATGACATTAAGGTTCAACCAATAGGAGTAACTGCATTTTATGTTTAAAGTAGTTGACTTAGTTCTCAAATTCATTGACTCTTCTACTTGCTTGTTAGTTATCTAGCTTTGTGACCATTAAGCACTATAAATAGTATGTGTTCCCTAAGGATGATAAGGAGTGGTGGTGTAATTATCGAAGAGAAGAACAAACGGTGAAAAGAATGTGCCTAAGAGAAAGTGAAAGAAACTGTTCTAAGAATGAGAGAATCCTGGGTGTGGAGGTGCATGCCTTTAATCCCACCACACAGAAGTCAGAGCCCAGCTGTCAAGAAGAAGTTCTAGTAAGAATATGCCTTCAGGATGTAGGTGGAGACTGTTTTTTCATTTTTGACTGCTTAGACACAAATAATCACACAGAAACTATATTAAGTACAAGACTGTTTGGCTAATGACTCTAGTGTACTCTTGGCTAGCTCTTACATCTTAAATTAAGTTATTTTTATTATTTTGTGTCTCACCATGAGGCTGTGGCTTACCGGGTATAGTTCTGGCGTGTCCTCCTTCGGCAGCAACATGGTGTTTCTCTGACTCCACCTATTCTCTCTTTCTCTATCTCTTTTCTGATTTCATGCCTGTCTTTTCTCTGCTAAGCCATTGCCCAAAAGACTTTTACTAATTAAATAATATTAATAAAACATATTCACAGCATACTGAGGAAAATCCCACATCAGCATGATTATTATAAGATAATCTTAACCCCTGTTTCAAATTATGTGGATATTTATTTTCTCATAACCTTGTCCATGCTTACGATGAGTGTTGAGGAACACTAGCCAAGGTTGTAAACAGTGGTACCATGGACATAGACTTCTGCTTTAAGGACAAGCTTGACTCAAAACACCAATTATACAACCTCCTTTCCCACTCGACAAATGTAGAAATGACTGGGCCCCAAGTCACAGTCTTTGATTTAGAGTTACATGATTACATGAGCTTACAAAGGAAATCCCAAGAAAGATCATAGTGTGTTCTAATTGCTTCCTAAGGTCTAGAGGTGAAAGGGCCACTTAGTATCCAAGAGCTCATCATTCGGAAGGACCTGCTTTTAGAGATTGAAAAGTTTTCTCAGCACCAAAGGGGAGGCAAGAATGGTGTAACTGCAGCACAATAGTCATGCTCCAGAAAGCCTGAACTTGAGCCTCTACTCTCACGTGTAAATTTTCTGATTTATCTGCCGGGATTTCAATATAAATGATGGGAAAAGTAATTAACGGGCTGCATTTTTTCACAGAGATGCTACCCAGCAGGATGTCAAAATATTGGCAGTTAAAATGTACTATAAAAGGTTCATCCTTAAAGTACATAATTGCATGTGCTTGTGTGTGCGCATGCATGGTGGATCGCTCTTCATTATGTAATCACAAAGCAACACGCCAAGCTAAGCTCCAACCCATCCATTAGCAATGCCACAGTGCAGCTGAGTGCCTCTACAATTTACTGTGGTTTGACAAACACTAGAGAGGAGAGGTGTGAAATAGCACCTAGATGTAAGCATACAAGCCAAGCATAAACATGCACACTAGAATGTAAAGCGAAAGAGAAAAGGTGATCAAAAGAACCCATCCTAAGCAGCAGGGCAGCAGCAAAGATCTGGACTCACTTTCATCCACACCACGGTCGCATTCCTACTGGCGGATATTGTGCACGACACAGGCAGGGCATCGCCGATCTGCTTGGTCACTTCCCCACTTGGGTTTAAGGACAAATCCAAATCTGTGAGACAGGAAAAAAAAAAAACCCTGCTTGAATTGAAAACTACAAGAAGGCAAGATAGTAAACATAAGAATAAAAATCATTTTTCTTCTAGCATACTTGAATATCAGAAATGACTTATGTGTGTAAGACAACTGGACTGGACTGCAGAAGATTCCGCTTAGCCTTACAAGCCAGCACTGATGCCAACTTGGACAAACACATGGACGACTGAACTGAATATGCACTGATTTTTAGTTAACATAATTGATGTTTGGGGTGCACGTAAATATTTCTGGTGGAACTTATCACCTTAAGAAAAAAATCAGCTCATTTCAGGAAGGAAAGAAGAATGAGTAGGTAAACACAAAAAGCAGTTGATAAGGCATTGCAGTGGAAAATCACATATATTTAGACAGCAGGTGATAAATGGGAAAACTATGAGATAGTTTCTCAGAGAAAATTGACAAATAGTTGAATTATTTTTGAAATGAGATTCCATTTTCCATGCAGTTGAAATTTTGAATAAGACCTATTATTAGGTACCCTTTCAATAGATAATCTTTAAAATGCACAGGATAAGCATGTCTAAGGATGTAGAGCCTTTCAGTTGAAAAATGGTTTCTTAAATATAAAACTTATATTATTTGTAGGAAGAAAATTCAATTCAATTGAACATATACTGTCCTACAGCTCCTATGTTCTAGGCACCAATGGAAGATGCATACACGACGATGATTTGACAACATAATAGGTCAGCGGTACTACGCACTCCACTTTAGTGCATTAGTTATGAAGTCAGAACCTAGTAACAAATCTATTACACATTCAGGTCTCCGTAATGACCTGTTGAACTACTACTAAGTCATAGCATAAGCAAACAATTGCAGGAGTAAAGAGAACTGAATCGAACTTGTTTCTTTGTATAAGACAATGTTTTGTAGTCTCCTTGATAACTAAGTGCTTTGGTAGGTGAGGACACAGCATAATCCTTTCCATGTGGACAAAACCCAAAAGGTGAGATCAGGCTGCTCAGTGTTGAGTAATTTAGTACTGATGTTTGTAACTCATACATACAATGTATATCTAACTATAGAGTTAAGTTTAGAGCAGAAGTTCTTTTGTGCATTTTGTCTCTCTTTTATGGTTTCATTACAGTTTGCCAATCATTTGCTGTGTCATTCTTTAAAAGGAATATGTATGATGTATGGATGTGGTAATAACTTGTTGGTGTGTGTGTACATGTGCATATGGGTATTATGTACTTAGGAGCAGGTATATATAGAGGCCAGATGTCGATATCAGCTGTCTTCCTATATTTCTCCATTTTTATTTTTAAAGATAGTCTTTAATCACGAACCTGAAAATCATCAATTTGCCTACACTGGGGGGCCAAAGAGCTCCAGAGATCTGGTGGTCTCTGTCTCCCCACCCTATATTTCCTCCCCATTTCTTGGGTTGCAGACTTCTACCTAGAGATGCCTTTTTATTTGATTGCTGGAGACTAGAACTCAAGTCCTCATGATTAGGCAATGTACTGACTCAGGTATTTCCTCATCCCCAACAATGCCATTTCTAGTGGTCATCTTTGCTATGAAGTTGTACACATCATGAGAGTGATGACCATGCTTTGATTTCCTCTGGCCTATCCCCAGGGCCTGGCATATCAAGACTCTTCGACATGGTTACTAAATGAGTGGTGGAATCACATGTTTTCTACTTTACACTAATGTTAATAGCTGTGCCGTCTTGTAGAAAAGTGGTTTCATTAGAATGTTTGGGTGAACTATGTTTGTATGAAAATTAAAGGAAGGGAAACTTGGGAGCCTTTGTTAGTAGAGTTAAGAGGTTGACATTGAGAAGGCACATGATTTTAAAGGATAAAATTGACTTTGAAGGCTCCAATGAAGTATCTCTGTTAGATTTGGCAGAGGAAGAGCCGCTGTTTTAACAGTAACTCAGGACTGTTGGAATATGGTGTTACTGTGAGGTCTGCTCTGCATCCTTGTGCATATATGGATCTTGCTTCTCCATCAACATTTTGCTTAATTGTTTTTGAAAGGGAAACAAATCCGAACTTTGTGAAACAAGGAGCCAAAGATAAAAGGGCAAAATATAATTTTCATGTTAGAATATCCTGTAGAATAACATAATGATGAGAATAATCATTCTTTAGCCTTTAAGGAGATGTTCAGACCTTGAGACCAAAGTTCCAGTCTAGCTATGAAAACAAGAATGCGTTAGAATAATAAAATGCACCAAATTCAATTACCCTTCCTCATACTTTGTTTGAGTTTCCTTCCTGTTATAAAGTATCATTGAGATATGATGTGGCTGCCACCATATCTTCATCCTTGTAGTCTGTAGTCCAGCCCTCCCTGCCTATTCTACCTGCCATACACAGAACAGCTCTCCCCTCTAAAGATTTTGTGTGTCTGTGTACCTAACATCTCTCAACCATAAGCACAAGTCTAAGGAACTGGAATATCAAAAACTAGTCTCAAAGTATGATTGACAGGGATATCAGATGACTCTTCACAGGTATTGTATTTGTAGGCTGTGTTCCTTTAATTTCCATCATAGAACAGGGTTAGATAAATGGTCCCATGAGTGACGGGACCACAGAGAGGGGAAAAACAGCACCATTGTTCTGTGCATAAGGACAGAGAAACAAAGAAAGGTCTTGGCTGTGAACAGTTTTCAGTACTTCTCTGTTACCACCAGGTCTCCTCAGGCATCAAAAGCCACCATAGGGTTGTATGAGCCCTCCTGTGTCTCCTCCCAGCTTTAGGTCCTTACCTGTATGTTTTCCAAACATTGTAAATTGAGGACACAGCAGCATGGGCTTAGAGCAGTTTCCTTTAAAGTTTTTTGACTTTGTTTTCTTCCATTCCTCTGTCTAAGCAAATTCTATTCTGACTGTGTGTGAGCTCCAGGTCCTCCACATTGTTCTCTAGTGATGCTTTTTGACAAATTCTTCGCGCTTGCTTTCAGAGAATGTGGTCAAGGTGGATAGCCTAGGTCCCGTCCTTAAAGCTTGCAGATGTTTTGAGTTCCTCAAAATCCCTGTGCTTCAGAAAACTCTATACTAGACTCCAGGGCATTCTCTCTGGTGCTCTTCAGTACCCTGTCTGCACTACTGCCAAATCTCATTCACAAAACAAAACAAAGCCAAGTCACCTCGTGCTCTGTAGGACTAAGGCAGATCATTTCTAGGAGAAATCTTTCTCATTACATTGTTGGGTGAAAAGTTCATTCAGCCTTTCACACATCCCTAAACAAGAAGCACTGTTATTCTAAAAAAATGTATGAGTTTTATTCTTACCATGTGGCAGTGTCAATAAAAAAATAAATCATTACTTTTAAGAAGCATCTGATATGTTAGCAATATCAACTTTTGTGATTTATAAAAAAAAGAAGTCACTCAAGTTTCATGGTTGGTCTTTTCATTTTTGGAAGATTTCTTTATTTCATTACTTTGTGTGGATGAGATCCTTGCTAGCATGTATGTATGTTAGCCATGTCTGTGACTGGTAACCTCTGAGGTTAGAAGAAGGCATTGGGACCTCAGTACTGGAGTTATAAATACTTGTGAGCCTCCATCTGAGTGCGAGGGAACTGAACCTGGGTTATCTGCAAGAACAAGAAGTGCTCTTAACCACTAAGCCATCTCCCAGCCCTCCACGTGGCTGTTCTTAATGGATCTTTTTCCCTATAGTATTCTTTGGGACTAAATATAATTTTGTAGCCTCTGGAGTCCTCCAAGTAGATTAAAATTTAATAAAAGGTGTCACTCAAGGTGATTTTTGAAGAGGTTAACTTTCCAACAATTTATTACACTTTAGCTCTTAGTCACCTCTACTTCATCTCCCAGTGCTGAATATGTAGTAACTTTGTGTTGCCTGGATCTGAGTGCTAATATGATTCGGTAATTTAAAAATGAGATATATAATCTACATTATTCCTGGTAAAATGCAAATCTTGTTAATATCAAGAATATCTAAAGAGAGCTTAGGGGTATAGCACAGTAGCAGAATGCTTACTTAGCATGTACAAAGCCCTGGGTTTCATCTCCAGAACTGCATGAAATAAATTATGCATATTATACGTATATATTTATATATTCAGTATACATATATTTCAATATATAATGAGTTATTTAAAGATCATATCCACATTACGTAGTATTACAACAAATTGAAGGCATTTAGAAAAAGGATTTTATCATCGACAACTTTGCAGTTCCCAGACTCACACAAGATTCAATGTCGAATGGAAACCAAACTGATTAAGAAAGATAAATCTGCACTTAGAAAAGTTAGCTAGGTAATATTATTAGATGCCTTTGAGGTGCAGCAGGTCTGGAGGAGGTGACTTACAGTGAACTGTGATGGCTGTTGAAGCAATCATGCTTTTTTGGTCGATGAGCGAGCATTTGTAGTCTCCTGTGGCATTGCGCCTCACATCTGTCAGTGTGTAAGTATTTGAGCTTCTTATTCCCTCAGGCTGTCCCTTTGGATGGAGGCAAAATGTCAGAAGGTTACACTTGGTAGCAACAATAAGAACGATTATAATTCTTGAGGATGGTACAATTTTCTCAGATATGAGAAAAAAGTGACCAAACTTTTTGATTAGACAAACATCTGAGAAACATTTTAAATTTAAAACACTAAATTTTAAAGGATATTTTATATTTTATTAATATTTATTTTTTTGAGCATAGCTTGAGTTTGAATTTTAAAGCAGTGTTTTATATACCCATTTCCCCCTATATATACACCAATATATTTGAGGAATTCTAAAAGAAAACATGAACTGGGTCTTGGGATATACACCTTTACTTGCAGCATTCAGGTGTTGGGGGCAGGATTGCAAGTTTGAGGAGAGACTGAGCTATATAGTGAGACTGTCTCAATGAACTGAAGAATGGAGATGTATCTTAGTGGCAGGGAGCTTGCCTGGCATGTGCAAGGCTATTAGTTTCATTCATTCATTCAGAGAGAGAGAGAGAGAGAGAGAGAGAGAGAGAGAGAGAGAGAGAGAGAGAGAAAACAAGCAGATGAGAAAGCCAGTCATTTATCTAAATTACAATGATAGACAGAAATGAAGGAAGCAGGGAGAAGAATGAAAAGCAGCAAAAGAGCAAGAGCATCAAGGAGGAAGATGAACAAAAGAAAGGAATCAATCAGAGGAGAGCAAATATAGAGAGGGCAGGAGTATATGCTAACAGCAAGTGAGACAATCAACAGATATATTTCTAAAGACAGAACACGAGTTTGGCTCTAAAATTCCCCATAGTCAAAGTAGAAAGTTGGTTTCAAAACTTGTATTTGTAAATGAGAAAATGGTAGTATATAAATTTAATAGGAGAAACAATGCTATCTGCCAACATTTATTTTTTATGAGAAGCTTCTTGTACAGATGTTCTCAGTAATGCAGTGGGTGATACTGTGAAATACCACCAGCCAGGCTGTGAGTGAACTCATAGTCATCCCATGATTGCAGTTTTTACTAAGTAAATGCACTATTTGGTAGCATATAGCTTTCCTCAGTAAGAAGGTGGTGAAAACACTTATCTTCCAGTTAGGCTTCAAATCTGAATGGAAATATTTAAAGAAATTTCCTAAAGTATCCCAGATGCAGACCATTACTTTCAGCTATGAGAAATACTGTGATAAGGAGGCCACAGGATTATTCTACCAACCTCGCTAAACTACACAACAGAACTGTCTTTGCTTTAAGAGATCTGAGCATGTCCAGCGCAGCCTGCGGGTGGATGGGATCCTCAATCACATTAGGCCACTTGCAATCATGTCTTTTGATTTTACAGTGATCTACTTCTGAAGGGCAGATTTTGTGTCTTATTTGGATGATTACACCCTGAGTCTCTGCAACTATGGTTTCCTGTGGTTGCCTCCTTTTCCTCTTTACATCTGAACTCTCTAAACATCAAGGAAAAGAAGAAAGGGCAGGGGATGGGGTTACAAAAGCTTTCAACGGAATTCTACAGGTGGTGTTTTGTGTTTTCTATTCCCAAGAATAACCCGTTCTTCTCACTTTAGCTACCCAAGTACATGCAATTGTTCATGCCAGTTAGAAGCCAGACAACAGGACAAAATGATAGTCATCAGGTTCAACCAACGCTTAAGCACTTACTGGTAAGTAAAACATGAACTCCGCAGGAGGCGGGTTGCCATTGCCCAAGCACTGAAGAGTGATGTTGTCTCCTTCTTTGACGGCAGTTTTTGGTGGCAGCACTTGTATTGTCACCTGCTCTGTAGGATCTGCAGGAGTCACAAGCAGAAGTTAACCATTTTTGTCAAGTACCAAATTACTCTGTGCATACAATGTAAATGACTAAATTATACACAATTTTCTCGAGAAGCTAGTAATGGTAATTACTTAAATGTATCTTTTTATAGAGGGATTGAAGTTAATAGCCACTTGCTATACCAAGTACTAATCTTAGTTAGAGCAAACTACAAAGAACCGTGTTACATTAAAAAAAAAAAAATCAATTTCTTCTTAGCAAAATGTCTTTAACTGAGGTGGCAATGACTGTAATTATTTTATGTGTAAAAGACCAGTAGAACAATCTCACCGTGTGACTTCATTATAAGGAAATTGAATGGTGTTATATGAATCTTATAGCTTGGAAAGACTAAATCGGGTAGCAAAGCCACTAAAGCTACTGGATACCATCACACCCTTCTTATACAATAATAAAAGTAAAATGAAGAGACATGAGCTAAACAGCACCAGCAGCATTTTTTGGCATGCAAGAGGACAGATCTACTTAAGAAAATTAATTCCATGAACACACACACTCACTCACACACACACACACACACACAAACACACACAGACAGAGAGACAGAGAGACAGAGGCAGAGGACAGACACAGAGACTGAGGACAGAGATAGTGAAGGACAGAGATTGAAATTGTTCTATGGTCCATATTGTTATTCTATTCTGTTCTTTAAAACAAGACATGACATAACTCCTATTACACAGTGGTTAATTTCTGCTGATAAAACAGAGGTATTGAGTATTTTTTTTAACACATAGGACTACCCAACAGTCCAATGCCAAGTGAATTAAATACTTCACACAGTAGAACATTATCCATTAAATAGAAAGTGAAAGGAAGTAGTGGTGGTTTTAAACATGATTGACTTTTTAACATCCATGCTTTACATAGCTAGATAACGCTATGAAGCATGAATTTTGAGGAAGATAGACAAAAATGACTAATGATCCAGTTATCTTCCTGTTTTAAAATTCATGACCTCGGGACCCAGCAATACCACTTTTGGAAGGATGCTCCATTATACCACAAAGACATATGTTCAGCTGAGTTCATAGCAGCAGTATTTGTAATAACCAGAACCTGGAAACAACCTAAATGCTCTTCAACTTAAGAATGGATAAAGAAAAAAAATGGTACAATTATACAATGGAGCACTATATAGTGGAAAAATATTGACATCTTGAAATTTGCAGGCAAATAAATGGATCTAGAAAACATCACATTGAGTGAAGCAATCAAGACCCAGAAAGACAAATATAACATGTACTCACTCATAAGTGTCTTTTAGACATAAAACAAAGAAAAATCAGCTACAATTCACAACTCCAGAGAACCTAGACAAGAATGAGGACCCTAAGAGAGACATACATAAATCTAATCTACATGGGAAGTAGAAAAAGACAAGATCTCCTGAGGAAATGGGGAGTGTGGGGATCATGCGAGAGGGTAGAAGGGAAGGGGGAAAGAAGAGAAGGGAGTGAAGAAAAATAAAAACCTCAAAAAGACAATAAAGATTCATGGACAGAATATTCTACAAAGACCTATTTTATTATTAGCTAATAAAGTGAAACTAATAAGTTGTAGTTTGTGAAGCCCCCCTCCATTTCTTGCAGTCATTTAAGTTAAATGCAGAAGAAAACTTAGAACTGCTGTTGTTGATTGCCTCTGATACTGGGCATCTGAGCATCACTAAGTCCTGAGACTAAAAGCGAGGTTTACACACTGCTTTAGGTTCATTGCATGTGTTTATTTCTGGATTTGCTGCAGGTAGTTCTCCAACCAGCAGTTCTCAGTAGAGTGGAAGAAGCAAATAAAACTTGCTATTAGCAACTCACTGGCAGCCGCCATTTCTGGGTTTGCATCCTGTACCCACTTCTCTCTCTTTTTCCTTTTCCTTTATTTGTTGGTATACCTCAGTTGCATAAAATAGTGGGGCTCATCACAACTTCTTTTGTAATGTGTGTCAGGTTCACACTTCGATGTGACCCTCTCTCAGAAAGGAGCATTGTCACATCTCTGATCAAGGCTGATGTTAGAACAGTCAGGACCATGATGTGTCTGACTTCCTCTTCTATTTCAAAGTCCTTCCTTTGTAACTCTTTTCAATTTCATCTGTACTAGAAAGACAAAGAACTGAAGTCTGATCAGAGGATTATTGTAACACATTTGCACTTTTACAGTAGCTTTGTGGGCTGCTTGTATGCCTAACAAACTGAGGATCACTTGTTCTTTTGCCCCAGACTTTGGATTTTCTCTGCTTATTAATAATTCATCATGCCTCCTTTAATCCACTCTAGTACTAAGTCTCAGTGATTCATGCATTAATATTGCTTACATTTGATTCTTCCCTTCTGGTCACACTTAACTTTCCTTGTTTATGCCCTAATTAACCTACACCATGCCCTTCCAAAATTTGCCAGTCTGTTTCCGTGACCTTTATCACTTGCAATCTCACACTGACAATTTCCTTTTGATGTGTCTTGATCCTCAGCTAGAAGAACAACCTCTTTGAATGCACTACTTTGTGGCATCATCAAGAGGCCTGTGCTGTCTCTCATTGTCAAACACTCCCCATCTCCCCATCTATACATGGAATTATTGTGTCATTCTTATGCATCTAAGGATTCATCCAGCTGCCCATCTTTATTCATGGTACTCACGTACATGCAAGTTCCTTCTGAAGCCACCTTCCCAAGTCTTAATATTTGTTTTGGTGATTTTTAAACTTAGGAAGCTAGTCACTCATAAGGTAGTGTTTACCCATCCCTTTTTAAGGAAATGGCCAGTAGGCATTAGGAATTCCTATAAAACACATGTCAATAGTCTATGACTGAAGAGTATTGGAGGGAATTGATCAAATTAGAGATCAAACCTTTAAAGAACATAACACCTCGTAGAGTACAGAACACATATTAATAAATAATGTGTGAAAAAAATGGAGTCTACTGTTAAGTGGTAAACATTTTTTTCTACATGCTTTCCAAGAAAAGGGAGATTATCTGCACATAAAAGTTTGGAGGTGAGGATTGACAGCAGAATATTAAGAGGAATTGAATCAGAATCTCAAAGATTAAGGTTTTAAATATTATTTCTAATACATTACAATTACATAATTGTATATTTAGTTACTTACAGTAAATATCAAAGACTGCTTGTTCCGAATGGATTGTCTTCTGGCCAGAGGGTCCGTAATATGTCACAGAACAAGTGAATGGCATTTGGATATCAGCCTTGGTTGTCTTATACTCCAAGGATGAAGTCATGGTATACAACTGAGTAACTGGATCAATTTCATTTTTCAAAAGTATGGCCACCTCTAAAGAAAGTAAAGGACACCAATGATGAAAGGTAACACTGGAAAGCCTCAATCCATAAGTAAATGTCCCAACACATTTCAGAGGTGAGTTTGTCCTACTAATTGTCTTTAACAGGAGAGAAAATTGACACTCAGGTAAGATGTCATTTTAAACCTGTGAGTCAGAGGCATAGGCAAAAATAGAATCCTGAAATTCTATCTCCCACTCAATTTAATTAACTTTTAGAACATGCCATATATAGAGATACTGCTTTCTGCTTCTAATTCTTCCACACCGGCAATAAAATGGTGTCTAATCACTGAATGAGTTCAGAGGCTCTTAGTGTAACTGGAGTGTAAGTTGTAGATAGAGAAGGGGAGACAGCATGTTCAGTTCCGGACAGCTCATAAAGTGGGTAGCTTATATAATATACAGAAAGGCCGTGGGCATTCATTGCTTGACTCAGACTCACCTCCTAAAAGGGGTTGCAGAACTTTCCCATTCCTGTACCAAGTGATGTTGCCATCTGGGTAACTGTCCCTTGAAATGCAGTCACCTAACTGAAAATTGAAAAAGAAAATTTCCTCATTTCAAACAGTTCCAAATCCTTATATCACAGAAGCCTCAGATTCTTCAGGAAATAAAGTGTCTTAAACAATTTATTTTTCATTTTTGACTAAGAAACTACCCTTTGAATCTTGAATAAAAATAATTCATATGAAAAATTACAGTCCTGCCCATTTTAAAATCCACAATAAAGCTTTCCACTATCCATAAAATCATATCCAGTAGGCATTACCAAATTTGTTTTGATGCTATTCATTTTTAGTATTAACTAGATGACTTTATAACCATATTAATATTGATTATTGCTGTGGTTCATAGATTTTCAAATGCAAGAAACATTTAGTGTTAAAATGTGGCACCTCTCCAATTTCATTTTCATTTCAAAGTATAAATACTCACCATATTCCATAATCCTTAGCTAAGTCTTCAAGTGAGTTTTAACTAAATTATTCAACGTTTATCAAACATTGGGCAGTAAAATTAAATAGGATTCAAAAAGCTTAATCTTACCTGCCCCCACAAACACAAAGGAATATCGAGGTTCTTAGTCAATTAGGATGAGATCATTACCCAGTTGATGTGCTTACATGTGGAACCCTATTTTGCCTGCCTACCAGTTCTATTTCCTTTCACACCTGTGATAATGTGATTGTTTATTTCTTTTGTCTCTCACTGTGTACTTCACACCTAGAGTAGTTTAGTTTACATTAATAGAATAAAGTCTAAATATTACATAAGTCTTGGTTAATCTCAGAACATTTTGCCTTTCCAGATTTATCTTCTAATATTCTCTCTTGCTTTGAATTTTAGCACCCAAATTTCTGAAACACCAAAGATTGATGTTTACCAGAAAGACCACACTCTTCATATCCCATGATTTCATTTCGTTTGAAAGCTTTTCTCAACGTTGGCATGGAGAAAATTCACTTTTTTTTTTCAAACTCTATATCAACATCCACATCCAAAAGACTCATCTCTTGAGAAATAAGCACACCTGCTAATGGACAGTGGTTACACTGTTCCCATTATGACTTCCTGTGTTCTCTGATTGAACCTGAAGTTGTGAACTCCATAAAAGCAAGCAAATATTATTTGTCTGGTCACAGGGCATCTAAATAGATTAAACCCATTAATACAAACAAGTTCTCACCTTCTGTAGCTTCTCTGTTTCAAGATATGGTGCTTTGTTTACAATTTCAGGTTTAGATGGTTGCTCTAAAGTTAAGTAGAAAAAGGTTTAAGTATATCGGAAGAGATAAAGGGCACATATGATCTATGAAAAAATTATACTGCATAGAATACGGATTCAAGTATTTGCTTTATGACTTCAAATATTGTTTTAAGTAATTAAAACTCCATTGAATTACATATCTTCAATGTTCTCTGGATTTTATGAAGTGAATATGGATTTGATGGTAAATATAGGCTACTGTTCTAATAAGGATGTTATTTCTAGTTGATTACAATTGTACTTTCTATTTACTAAGTTGAAGGCCTCTGACTCATTACTTGAGGATGTTATTGCATATGAATCCAAATCACAAAGGTTTTCATTTGAAACTTACATTTCTAGACTTAAGAAGCTCCCAGAATCTCCAGAGAAAATTCCATTGGTCTATATATTTTTAACAAACTCTAAGGGAATTCTTAGGCACAATGAAGTATAAGAAATGTAGTAATAGCCGGGCGATGGTGGTGCACGCCTTTAATCCCAGCACTCGGGAGGCAGAGGCAGGCGGATCTCTGTGAGTTCGAGACTAGCCTGGACTACAGAGCTAGTTCCAGGACAGCCTCCAAAGCCACAGAGAAACCCTGTCTTGAAAAACCAAAAAAGAAAAAAAGAAAAAAAAAGAAAAAGAAACGCAGTAATAAATACTGAAAAAACTATGTAGTGATGAACACAAGCCAATTACCTAAATAAACCAATGTCTATCTCTTGTCTCACCTTATAAAATTATGAAAATATGAGAAAATATTTTCAGTTTGGAACTTGAGATGGAGGACAGAGATTTTATAGAAAGTTCTTTAAATAAATTTCTAAAGCAATTTCAGGGACAATTGATTAAAAGTTCAGGAATGATGTCTTAAAATGGGTTTTGCTTTTCTTAGTATATATTCATTGTTCAACATAATAGAAACTTTCATTGTGACACTCTCATACAACTATATTATGGAATTTGATCTTATTTATCCCCATTGTCACCTTCTGTATGGGCCCCACTGGTCACTTTTTTTTTTTTTAAAATAGTACCCTCTATGCCTTCAAACCTTAGACTTTTAAGCACAGATCCCAGATATATGAAAAAAAACCATATCATTAATCTTTCTCAGCCCATCTTATTTTGCTTATCATGATGATCTTTTGTTTTCCATTTTTCTGCAGACACAATTTTTTTTTTGGCTGAATGAATGAGTAATAACATCTAGATTTGGTGTAGGAGGTCCTTTTGTTTATGTGTTACTTTCATTGGTTAATGAATAAAGAAACTGCCTTGGCTTAGTTGATAGTGCAGAATTTAGGTCAGCAGGGAAGACAGAATTGAATACTGGGAGGAAGAAAGAAATAGGGGAGAGACACCATGGAGCTGCCAGAATTAGACATGCCTAATCTTTCCAGGTAAGCAACTGCCACATGGTGATATACAGATTAATAGGAAATGGGTTAAATTAATGTAAGAGTTAGCCAATAAGAAGCTAGAACTAATGGGCCAGCAGTGATTTAATGAATACAGTTTCTGTGTAGTTATTTTGGGGCTAAGCTAGGAGGGCAGCCGGGACGAACAGGCCCCCACCCTCCAATATTGATTTACACTTTATTTTCTCTATCTGTTCATGTTTTGATGGTTATATGAACTGAATCTACAATTTAACTGTTGGGAATAGTGCTGTAATAAAAATGGCTGTGCAACTATCTCTGTTTTATATTATCATGGATTTCACAGAATGCAAACCTAAAAGATAGTATAGTCGCATTCTTTAGTGGTTGTGTTTTTGGTTTATTGAGAAATCATCATTCTGATTTTCACAGTGACTGAACTAGTTTGCATCCCTACTACCTTTCTTTAAGATTTCTCTTTCCTTGTGCTCATGAGAATTTATTTTTTGGTTTCTTAATAACAGCCATTCTCACTAGGATAGAAAAGAATCCTAATGTAGTCTTGGCTTTCAATCCTTTAGCGGCCATGAATGTAAAATCTTTTAATCTAATATCTATTGGCAAATTATACTTTTCAGAGATGTATAGTTTGTTTGCCCAGTTATCAATTAGATTATTGAGTTTTTTTGGTTTATTCTTTTTTATTTTTTTGTATAGTCTCAATATAGGATTTATATTCTTTTAGTTTTCTATTAATGATGAATTTTATACTTAAAAATGGATCAACTAAGTTGGGTATGGTGGCAAATGCCTTTAAGGCCAGCAATCAGGAGGCAAAAGCAAACGAACTTCTAAAATCCAGGCTAGCCTGGTCTACAGAGAGAGTTTCAGGATAGCCAGGGCTACACAGAAAAACCCTGTCTCAAGAAATCAACTATCCAACAAACAACCAACTCAGCTAATTAGTTTATGAAGAATGTAAATTGAACTCATACCATTCAGAATAGAGTTATTTTTATTTTATTAACACCTGAAATTAATAATTTTTCCCCTCATAGTTTTAGTGTTTATATTTTCAATTATTTTTGATTGTCACACTAAACTAAATTGATTTTGCATATTTATTACTTAATTTGTGGTTCAACTGAAAGAACTTACCTAACCAGACCATAATAGAAATACAAGACAAAAACCTTTTGAGTTATAAAATGGGTGACACTAGAATGTATGAAAACAAAGAAACAGTCTTCAGATTAACATTAATTTCCCTTTTGCAGGGCTGTTTTATATTAGAACAGTGAATATAACTTGTTTGACCCTATGCACTTTGCTTATAGATCTTATTTGCTATAAATTTTAGAAGTATTAGTCCACCCATGGAAGTCTTGCAAGGATAACTCCAGTTGGAGACAAAACACGAGGGAGATAGGAAATCAGCAATACAAATAAACAGGACAGACAATCGAGGTTAATGAAAACAAGAAGTGATGCCCAAGTTTCTGGGTGTTAAGAATGTGACTCTATATTAGAAAACGCCAACAAAATCTCTATTCAAAATAGTCACTAGTGTGTGGAGGAAACATATGGAATGGATGTTAAATCCTTTCTCATGTCAATACAACTTAATGCTCTCAGCATTTTTATGGAATACACTTCAAATTAAAACTGAATTATTGATCAAACAGTGACTTTTGCTTAGAATCTGAGCTGTCAAAGACAAACATTTAATATGTTTGAGAGACAATTGCACTGAGAATATTTAAACAAATGAAAATTCCTGGGTCTTAATTAAATAAACCAAAGCTCTCAAGACCCAGAAGCCAGTTCTTAAGTGACACAATCATCAAAACCTCAAGAGACAGAGCACATTAATTAATGTATCTGATTTTTAAAAACAGGTCAAAATTAACAGAAAGGAAAAGGCAACTGGTATTTAACTTCCCCTTCAGTAGTAATATGCCTGGAAAACAGAGAGGTTTGCAAATCAAACAAATGTAGGCTCTGAAGAAAAGCTTACTGGGTAATTTTGACAAATTTCGCTGCTTTTTAATCCACTGAGTACTACAGAAAAAAGACTGAACTCATATTTGAGCTTCCTCTTACTACATAGCAAGTTTACCTAATTTTTTTAAAATTAAATCTGGTAACATTTTATCAATAGGCACAAAAGCATTAACACTGTATGTATGCCAAAATTACAATTTACTTTGTTTGCATTATTTTTAAAGTTTGTTGTTGTTTTTAAATAAAATTAAAATGTAGTTGAAAGAAAAAAAGGAAGGAAGAAAAGAAGGAAGGAAGGTAAAAAGGAAGGAAGAAAGGGAAGGAGAAGAGCCCTGGTGAAAGGGTGCTTAACTTTTAGTAATTCTTAAATTTCTGATCATGTTTTCTTTGGAAGAGTCACAGCAAGTTTTGAGATTTAACGGTAACTTAAAAATAGTACCTATTCTATATCCTTGAGTTATTTTCTCTTTAGATTCTTGTTTCAAACCCTTTGTATTAACTACATTTTTGATATAATTTTCTTTCATATTACCTTGTAACAATCAATGGATAGTAGTTGGAGAACCATTAAAAGGACACATACTATTTTAGCAAGATTGTATATTGATTCTCAACTAGTGTTTCTGTTTAAAAGAACTTCATGTGAATTATATTTTAATATGATTCAAGGATTCATAACCAAGTATAAAATTGACAGAAAAGTAACACTACCAATTTGCTTGTAGCATTAATTAGTCAAAATGAAAAATTTAAAATTAAGCCAAAGTTTGCTTCAGAAAATTGCCGAGCAATCTCTCTAGAATTTCTCATCTGACCATGTATTGATTATAGAATTATGTCTTAAGTCATAGTTTTCTTCCTTGCTGGGCTGGCAGTCTCAACTGAAGTAGCTAGAAGTATGTTAACATAGGGACACAATATGGTGGTACATTAGAACTTACGGGACAGTGAGATTTTCAAAGTAAATCATAGAGCAAGCTCTGGAACTCGTGACAAGGCAGTAGCTTGCCACACGTGCAGGTGTGAGCGTGTGTGTGCATGGGAGAGCGTGTTTGTGTGTTTTGGCATCATGTGCTGTATGCTAGTATCTATAACAATGGAATATAAGTAAAGCTGATGTGATTTCTTCTTAATTAATGAGATCACAGGCTTTCCTTAATATCCTTTGAAGGCTTACCACAAATAATTAAAGGCTAAGCAATATATAAAATGCTGTGGAAGGTCAAGTGCTCCAGAAGCAGAAGCTTTCCTCTTCCTTTGTTTGTTTTGTAAGAGGTTTTTTTTTTTTTTTTTCCTTTTAATTTTGGAGAAGAAAGACACTGGTATATAGAAAATGACTGACCAGAGATAAATATAATAAAATAGATAGCACACTTCCTAATTCTAACTCTCAGGCTATAGTTAGTGAATGCTCTGAATATTGATTTTCAGAAAAAAGTAGAAATCAATACCTTCCTAAAAATTACATTTCGGGCACCCAGCCATCTAATGTACAGGTGAAGAGGTAGTTCTGGTTACAAGTGTTCTTTGCTACCCATAGTAGCTGAGCATTAGTGTAAAACTACACACAGGAATATGAATATGAAGAGAAAATGTCCTGGAGGTTTGGTGCAGAGGTGAGGCTCTCAGTTCCCATTGGCAATTGAATTCTTTAATAGTCACCAAGCACTTAAGCTAGTGTATCCACGGAACAATGTTGTATTTTTCTCATTAGGTGGGGAAATGTAATTCTTAGTCTTTAGAGTCAAAGTGATCCGGGCACAGTGATATGCATATAATTTCAATACTTGGGAAGTGAAGGAAGAATGGGGAGTTCAAAGCTGGCTTTGGCTACATCGCATGTCTTTGGAATAGCCTGGGCTGTGTGAGACCCTGTTTCAATCTCCTTCATTCCGTCCACCCCCAAAAGAAAGTATCAAACTGTAATGTACAGTTTAGATCTTATTTGTTAGGTAACTCATTTTCTATTTCTTTCCCCTTGAAAATATTCTTTTACTATATTCTGGTTTAACAATTTTCTACTGGAGGGAGGAGAAATTCTCAATTTTTCAAATCAATGAAGCCTTAAGAATCATATCCAAGTAGGAGCTATGAAACGATGTGCAGAGCCTGCACAAGTTGGCCAATGCCTTGAAGATTGGACTTG